AAGTGCTACGTTACGGGTCGGGCAGTGCAAGCAATCTAGAAATGCCTTAAATTAGATCGTTGGTCCTCAGAGAGTAGCCGAGGGGATATAAGGCGTCTGGGGCTTCGTCGCCCTCCTGGTACTAACGTTGGCTCGGCTGTTGGACAGAGCAGTGCATCTGCGACACTGAATGGCGGAACCTTCTTTCCTTAAGTAGCAGTCACCGAGGACACGCTGTGCGTGGGCCTCGCCCGGGTCGGCGCGGAGGACCAGCGGATCGCCGCCGGCACTCTGCAGCAGATGTGCACCGTGGACCTGGGGGGCCCGCTGCACTCCCTGATCGTCACCGGAGGCAGCCTGCACCCGCTGGAGACGGAGATGCTGAGTCTGTTTCCCGTGCCAGAGGCCAGCCCGGCGTCCCAGGGCACCCACGACGAGCCCCGCACGTAGACGGCTCTGACACGGAGGCTCATTTCGGCCCCGGTGCGCGCGTCTCTGTATCAAAGGGGACAGGTCCTCTGTTCCTAGTAAGTACAGGACCGGTGCCGGAGAAGATGCCGAGGCGGCCACGCCCCGCCTCCAGTGGCCCGGAGCTTTCCCTCTGACGTCATCAGCAGGTGCGGCTATCGGCGATTTTCCTGCAGGTGCACGCATGGAGCAGACCAAGCCAGGACGCTTGTAGGTGGACACCCACCAACAGCCCTTGAAACGCAGCTTTTCACTGTGAAACCATCTGTACGAGGTGGACCTTCTTCCTTTGGAAGCTGCCCTGACTGTAGGCGAGCGAACTGCGCCTGCGCAGAGGTGGGCGGGGCGCGTCCCCCTCCCGGAAGGCCGATCTGATCACGTGCAGCTGAGTGACTTGCCGCGAATCACCTGTCTTACCACCTGGCATCCTAGCTGCAGAGCTCCTGTTACATATTATGTGATCGCCGAATTATAACTGTGCAGCCAGCCATGTCGGGTTGCCCTTCGGTTTTAAATAGCAATTTTCACACCCAAGCTGACAAATGAAAAACTTAATGACTACAAAATAAATTTTTTTTAAATTTAAGTCAGAAGCCAGTGGTTGATCAACCAATCTTCGTCACCCCACCTAACTCAGCGTGCCCTGGGCGGGTGCCCGTGGTCACGTTCTCCCTGCCGGGCGCACATGACACGCCCCTCACTGTCTCTGAGCGCAGCTGTGTGGTCTCTGTTAGGTCACCGCAGGGAAAGCTCCGCGACCCGCTCGTGTGGCCGCTGTAGCTCCGAGCCCTTCCGCGCCGGTCCACTTATCACTCGGGAAGCTCATGGCAAGCTGAACAAACATCTCTGGTCTTTGGGGAGCATCCATTAGCAAGACACTATTTTGACTGACTTTATTTCACTGGAGATAAATGATTTTAATATATAGGAAACATTCCATTTGCAATCAATTGGACACAAAAGGGGTGAGAGCTGAGGACATTTAAGTTGCCAGTCCTGTCTGGTTTGGGTACCAGCGGGATGGGCTGTAATACACAAACCCTCCCCATCACAAACTCCGGACGGAACACAGTAACTACCTGCGGCGGCACTGGGGAGAGACCACAGCAGGCCGAGAGCTCTCTCACCTGGCTTTGCCTGTGCCCAGTCTGATGGGGGAGGGGTGGCTGGCGCTCAAGAGAAAGTGCAGCTTGCCAGCTGGTGGTGTTTGAGGAATTAGGGCTGATAGAGGGGCCGTGCATTGAAGGAGTGAACTCTCCAGGTGAGGGAGGAGCCTTCCAGCCTGCACCTGACCTCTGAAATCTTGGGCTAATTCCTGGGCTGTGGGCGGGGGTGATGGAATCCAGGGAAAGTCATGGCCAGGGGTGGGAAAGCTGAGTGGAGTGTTGCTGGCTGTGCAAAGACACAAAGTTTTGAGTTTGAATTCTGACCAGTGACAAGGCTTGGTAAGCATTTTGGGCTTCCCACCCAATCCTCAGGGGAGCCAGGTATGAGTAATGAGGGCTCTTCCCAGGACTAAAGATCCGCGCTGAAACTAAAGATGTGGGCCAGACCTTTAACATAATGTAAAACCGAGGCGCTCAGCCAGTAAGTTCACTGCCTGCCAGAACAAAGCTCCCCCTGCCAGGGCGGGACAACCCAGTGGGCCTCTGTGCCGTAGAACAATGACTGGACTGTTACACAATAGGAGGTACTCACAGAAGGAGACCCCGACACAGCCCAGATGCTGTGTCCAGTCCACACACAGGACATCAAAGCAGCCCTTAGACTTACATTTGAGGAGGGAAAGGAGGGGCATTTGGAGTGAATGAGCGAAGCTGGGTGCCCCCAGCAGAGAAATGGAAACCCACCCGCCGACCCAAACCCAAACGGCGGGACTTATTAGCAGAGTGCAGGTGACAGGCGACTCGAAATGACTGAAGCTGAGGAAGGTCGGAGGGCAGGAGGACACGGGGGCCTCCGTGCTGTGTGTGGGGCGATCGATGTCCAGCAGCTCCACGCCCACAGGCAGCAGTTCCTGGAAGTAGCACCTGGTTGCAGCACCGATGAGAAAAATCGTCAGTTCCCAGCGGGGGCCCCTCTCGGTGTTGGTGCGTCCTCCCCGTGTCTGCGTGGGTTCCCTCTGGGTCCCAGAGGCGCACATGGGGGATGAGTTGGCCGGTCACACTGCCCGTGGGGGCGTGGGGGCGTGTGTGAGTGCAGAGGAGGACCGGGCCCACATGCGCGTGACAGTGTGGCTCCGTGGGTCATAAACAGCTGGACGAGGTCGCTTTCCTGCGCTGCCTTCTCTCCACGCTCTCACTGCTTCCTGGTTCCCCAGGCCCCTCTCTCTGGTCCTCTGGCCGGAAACTGGAGTCCAGTCCCTGAACTCTGTGGCTGTGCCGCACCCACCCTGACCCTGGGGCAGGGAGGGGCCAAGGGGGGAAAAAGCCACAGGGGTTTGCCTGAAATCAGGGCTCCGCCCCTCGGAGAGGAATGCCCGTCACAGGGCGGCCTGGGGTTTCCCCAGTGGCTGCCCACCGGGGCAGGATCGCCTGGGCTGTCTCTGGAAGTGGCGGGAGGCTGTGGCTCCAACAAACAGAACTGAAAATGCAGTAACTTTGTCTTGTCAAATAGAGTGGCAGTCTGACCCACGGGCCCAGGGTGGGACATGGTGATGGCTAATCCCAAAGACCTTTTCTGTGTGTAATTTTCGACGAGGTGGGCAAGGATTCTAACTGCTGTGAGACTGCCTTTGCTGAGGTGTGAATCTGAATTATTTGCCCGCTTATGTGCCCTTTTAAAATACTGGTACGTGCCCCCATGCAGGAAAAGCTTTGGGGAGCGCTTTTGTTTCTGCCTGATTCTGTGTTTAGTCCTTGGCTTCAGTGGGGGCCGTGCTACCGAGTGCCCTTCTCCTGGGGCCGCCTCCTGTCTTCAAGGGTTACCTTCCAGCTGCCGTCGCGGCCCCCCTTGGTCCTCGGAACTCATCAGATAAAGGCAGCTGGCCCACTTACCTGTGAGCCCAGACTCCACGGTAGATGTTTTCGGAGCCTGGGAGCACAACTGGATGAGTCACAGTCCCATTCCAGTGCCTCCTTTCTCTTCTCTTCTGTAAGAGCGACAGATTCCAAGTCGCTGCCGTTGCACCTGCATCTGCCGTGGCCCCGCCTGCTCCCCCACCTTTGCCGCTTCTCTGGTCTAGGGCGATGAGGAGCTGGCTTACCCCCCTATCGTGGGTGACAAGATTGAACAGGGAAGAAAGCAGAGGGAGTTTCTAGAGTATTCCGAGGGACCTGGACTCGGGGAGCGTTTGGGGCACCCTCACGATTCCCGGCACTGGAGGGCCGAGGCCCACGTTTGAGAAAACTCATGGCCGGGGTGGGGGGTGGCTCTGCGGGGGAGGAAGCAGCCTCTCCAGCCCAGGGAGTGAACCGTCACCATGCGTGACATGCCCGCCCCTGCGTGTGAGCAGAGGCGGCTGCGCTAGGGGGTGCTGGCAGGTCCCGGCAGCCCTCAGGCGGGTCAGGGGCCGCTTCCCCAGAACACAGGAAAGGCAGGGGCTCTGGCAGGTGCTGGAGACCCAGCAGGTCAGAGTCCAGGGTGCAGATGGGCCCAGAAGGTGGTCCGGAAGCCTGGGCGGGGGCTGGTTTCACAAGGCCTGGGCGACAGCCTCACTCAGCAGAAATTCCTTGGGCTTCTTCCTGCCAAAGGCCAGGACGGTTTGTGGGCGGGAGGGGGTGGGAGGGGGTGGGTGGGGGTGCCTGGGACGGCTGGGCAGCTGGCGGGTCCTGCAGAGTGAGTCTGCACGCAGTCATCCATGAGGCAACTGGACAGTGGGGACAGAGAAGGGGACTCGGAAAGATGGCAGAGGAAGAAGGGGTTTGTGACAAGGGCCTCAGGACATAGAAGTGGCAACATTAAATTTCCTAAGATCTCAAGGGAAAAGCTCAATCTTGGGTTTCTCTCTGTTGCACGGGAGATGCTGGCCCTTCTGCCATGGCCGCGACGAGAAACCGCGATGGCCTCTGGCCGACTGCAGGCTGGGGAGCAGCGGGCCGTCTGGAGGGGCCAGGGAAGGGCTGGCAGGAAGCACAGGAGCCTGTGGGGGCCACACGTGCTACCTGGACGCACAGAGGACAGGCCCCCGCAGTGGGGCAGAGACGGGCGCCGGAGGAGAGTGCGCTCAGAGGAGGGGGTCTGAGAAGGCGAGGGGAGGGGGCTCTGGGTGGTGGAAAACTTACTTTGACAAAGAATTGCTTCCGGCTGCACAGGGAGACGTCGGCGGGACAGCGGAGGCTCGAACCGGATGCTCTGGTCCGCCCTCCCTGTGAGCGGAGGTCACCCCAAGAGGAGGAGGGGGCGGACCCACCCGAGTGCGTGGAGACGCCTGGAAACGGGCGCTGAGGCATGGTCCCGGGCCCGGCACGGCGTCCAGACCGTCCCCCGCGCCCCGAGCTGTGCCGTCTGGAGCCTTTCCCTCGCGCCACCCCCCGCCCCAGGACCCACCCCCAGGGCTGACAGGTTCACTGTTCTTTTCAGCTAACCAGACTGACAGACACGACCCAGGGGAGGACTTTTAAACAGGAATTTTATTGGGAGAATCTTGATACAGCTGTTTATTTTTTTTTTCAAAATACATCTGAGGTTACACAAAACGTACAAAAATGTCTTCGGGTAACAAAAAGTGGAGTCGACATCACAGAGCTGCTGTGTCGTACTTGGGCGAGCCCGAGTGGCTCACCTGTGTGTGTGCAAACCAAATCACAACAGCCCTTGGGTCGGACGGGCAAGCCCGGCCTCGTCCCCCATCCCCCAGCGTCTGCCGGGGAACATGGGAGGCCCCCGGCCTTCACGGAAGGAGTCCAACCCGCGCTCGCACGGGGCCACGCGCTCAGGAACCACTCAAGGCAGGAGGTCAGGAGCGGAAGGGGCGCGGGGAAGAGACCGGGAAGGGATTTGGCAATTTTCCATTCACAGTATTTCTGACATAAAAGGCCCATTCTGTGTATGGGCCAAACTCACAAATGTTGGGGCAAAATCCCACCTGGGCAGGAAAGCCACTGAATTCGCCGCTTTGAGAGGAAGCAATGGGATAACTTGGCAAACTCTTGTCAGAGACACATCTGGTTCAACACAGACCCTTCCCCGAGCCCCGGGCAGCAGCAACGGGAAGGAGTGCAAAGTAAACGGAGCAGTATAGAGCAGCTCTCCTAAGGTTTGGATTCTGGAGAGGAAGAGTTAAAAAGAGTCAGAACTATCCTAGGGATATTCAAATGCTTCCTACGTGCAGTGTGGCTGTTCTAGAAGCGTCTTGAGGGTCTCTCTCGGGAAGAGTTCTGGACAACCCTTCTGGGACGGCGCGTGAAGCAGAAGACGTGTTCTGCACGGGGCATGGAGTGACATGGGGGTGGCAGCCGTCCTTAGCAACGAAGGACACAGTGCGGCTTCTCGCTTGGATGCCAAAGACGCAGTTCAAGCGGCCCCGGTCGCGGGCCGTCTGCCTCCTCCCCGGCCCGCAGCTACGCACCTGCACGGCCTCTGCACAAACATGAAGGACCAGCTCACGGGGCAGCTTGGGAAGAAATGGCCCAAAGGAAAAGGAAGTCACTTACTTGTGCAAAAATGCCAAAGGAAAGCTGCACGGGGTTTTGCAATACATGGCACACAGCCGGGTCTCCCTGCCCTCGACCCTGGCTCCACCCTGTGCTCGCTCACCGGACGGCTACTGCACGCTGTGAGTGTGAACCCACGCTCAGCTCGGGGACAGCAGGACGGATCAGACATTCTTTCTACTTCCCACGGCACGGTCAGAGTCACAAACGACACATTCCGAAAGCCGGGGGAGGAGTTCGGAGTGGAGCAGCACTACGTGTGAGCACAGGTGACTGCGGACGATGGAGTCGAGTCCCTCCTCCTCCGACAAGGTGTCCGCAGAGCGGAACGCACGTCGGGCCCGGCCGCCCGCTCAGGCCGCACAGAGTGGCCAGCGGCCGGCCCCTCGGAAGGGCAGCCCCCCTGGGCGAACGCCCCCGGGCCAGGAGGCCCGTCTCTCCCACGCACACCGGCCCTGACTCTGTCCTCTGGCCGGCCCCTCTGTGAGTGCCAAGGACATTTTCCCTTTACCCTTTTAAATCCCTAGGGGTGCTGGGAGGAGTTCTGAGTGCTCTTTTCGGCCTGCGGTTCCGGGTCCACGGCAAAGCCAGGAAGGAGGCCAAAGAGACGGTGGAAGGAGTGGCTGTAACGCTCGCTCTGCCAGGGTCACGGCCCCGACTGTGTAAGGGAGCATCAGCTTGGCGGCGGCTTCTGGGGCCAGGTCTTGAACTCGTTCGAGCAGAGACACAAGGGACGGGGAGCAGAGCCCTGGCAGGTGCTCCCCGGGGCAAGGCACCCGCCCGCCCTCTCCGGCTACGGCGGCCTCGCCTGCATGGTGGGGGCGGGCATCCCTTCCTCCCAGTGTCAGGAGAATCAGAGGAGAAACCATATCTGAAAACCCTGTCAATCACAAAACCACTCAAAACTCTTTGTAGAAATGTGGGGATTTCCAGTGAGAATGTGGAAAAGGCCACGCAAAGAGCCCGACGCAGGAGCACTTCATAAAGGTTAAACCCCAACCCTTCCCTCTGGACAATTTGGGTTGGAAAACGGTGAAGTGGAAGCCAAAGCCCGTCCCGATTCCGGGGCCAGGATCTGAGCCACTAAGGCTGCTGGGGGACGCCTCTCCAAACGACCTGCCAGTAATCAAACTTTCAATCAGTGTTCTGGGAAGGATAAAATAATTTCCTTTTTTCCAAAGATCATGCGAATGGGAAACTAATTTGTTTTGAAGACGGTGACCAAAAAAAGTCCCTCAAGGTCATTAACACTGACGTGGAGAGATGAAAGCCAACAGCTGATTTAGCATTTGGGATTCTGATTAAGAGTTCAAACGTCACCCTAGCGAATTAGAGAATCTGTCTCGTTCCGGCCAGACTGCCCGCCTGGCCCTGTGCGGCTGTGAGAACAGCGCCGGACGTGCAGAGGTGTGCAGAGGCGCCCCAGGCACGGGGAATGGAGGGCCGAGACTGGAGCGACGGGACCCGCCGACGGGCCTGGCTGCTGCTATGGAGGAGCGCCCGAGCGACCAGAGCACGCGCAGGAGGGGAAAGACCAAGCGACCCCCACGCTGCCCTGAGCCTCGGGCAGACGACCAGGAAAACCCACTCAGGGGCGGGAGGGTCCGAGGCACAGACGCCATCAGCTGTGTAAAAATCGGGAACCGGCTTCACGAGAGTAAAAAAGTAGAAGAGTAAAAAATGTAAGTATGTCTCCCATAAAGAATAGTACAGAAACAATACGCTAAACCTCATCATTACGTATGAAAAACAAGACAGTAAAACTCCGTGGATAAAGTGCGTCCATGTACCAAAAATGGAGGTCAGACGTCCACTGTGGACAAGTCCCTGCTCACCACCGTTACAGAAGGGTGGTGGCACCGGGAAACAGGGAGACCGGGCGTCTAGTCTGGGCCGGCCTGGGCCACGACGGGCCTCTGTGACCTTGAGGACAGGCCAGCTTTTCCAGGCCCGACACTCTCATCTGAGAGACGAGAGCTGGGGCAGGCTGCCTGGAGGGACAGTCGCCTCAGATGTCACGTTCTGTGTCACGCCATGAGATGAATACTTGTGTCCTCGAACCCCAGCACTCTCCGTGGGGACACTCGTCAATAACCCGAGACATGGACGGTACAGGCGAACACATCAGAGGACTCCGGCCAGCTGCGCCAGGGGTCAGGGGTCTGGCTGCTCTGCAAAGGGCACGGCAGTCACGGTATTTTGGTTGCTGGCCTCGAAGCCGAGGCGTCTGGATGCAGGGGAATCACAGCACCAAGGACAGGTGACCACACTCCCGTCGGCCTGGCCTGGCGGCAGGGGGCGTGGGGGCGACCGTGTGGACATGAAGCTGCCGACGACCAAGGCCACACCCCTCACACAGGGGCCCAGGGAGTCCCCAAGATGAGGGGCCGCGCTGAGGGTGAGCCCCCTCCTGACCGGCACAGCCTAGACCCGGGGGCACAGAACCAGCGCAGCTCTCTCCGCTCAGGGATGCCACCTGGCAAAGTGAACCCTCCCCGAGTGACAGACGTTGGCTGTCCGAGTGTGTTTTGGTTTTTGAAATACTAGCTGAGTTACACACAGATACTGAGATTTCCCCGCCCCGCCGCCCCAAGGTCAGCCCAGCCATCGGGACAGTCTGCATTCATTTTATCACAATAACTAAGTAGTTATTTCTCAGTGAAATGATCTACTTTAGCAACACATCTGGGCCAGGAACACCAATAAAACAAAGCAACTCCTCAAAGTGTGGGGAAAAAATTGCTTTTTCGCCCTAATTTTTTACTGCTGCACACGCAAGCTTAAAAACATTTAATTAAAGCGTACGTGTTAACGCCAGCCGGCCGAACGACGGGAGCTGGCCACCTGTGGGGCAGGGGCGAGGTCAGACTCCCTGTCCCTCCGGGATTCCCCACGCTCTCGTCTGGCCCAGGAAAGAAGAACCACTCTCCTGCCCTTGCGTACCGACTGACTGGGTTTCACCTGCAAGGCAGGGCCCAGCGGGGGGCAGCGTCGCCCCCAGCATCACCCACGAATCTCACCAGCCCGTGCTGGCAGTCTCCCCACGTGGGAAGTGTCACCCCAGTCACACACCGTTAGTTTTCAGACACACGTCCTGAATCCATGCCTCCGCCCGAACGGCGTTTCCCACGAAAGCCGGAACCCGCGCGCAGCCCGGGGCTCCAGCGGGCTGGGCAGCGGGCGGGACCTCGGAGGGACCCGCCTCTGACGCCCACGACGAAGCAGCAGCATCGACGTCAGGGCCTCTCCTTGCACCCGGTCCCCCCGACAGCTGGCCCCGCTAATCAGCACGTTTCACTGCAGGAACGCGGGGCTTTAGAACTGCCTGGCAGTTAGGAGAACAGGTTTTGAAAATGCTAGTCTGCAGAAAGGAGATCGGGGTGCGTTCACGGCCATCCACAAGGGTTTAGAGAAGCAGGAAGAGAGCAGCTCAGTTCTCCTGGCACTGTGCCATTCATAAACTGTGGGTCAGAAACGGGGAAACGATACTCTAGACCTTAGACAGAATCGACAGCGATTTCTGCCACGGCAGTGAAAAGTGCTCATCGTCGATCTGCACCCTCCACAGCCATGTCCATCCTTTCTGCAGGGTCTTCGTGTCCCGACGGTCTCACTTTTCCAGAGCACAGAGGGGAGCGTGCACGGTGACAGGAGGAAGTTCGGTGCGACGGCGTGTTTGCACAGACTGCTCGAGCACCTGCCATCGCAATTCCACTTTCCAACACACGGGCCCCTGGAAACCAGCGGATCAGGCAGCCCGAGACCCTGTGTGGGGAAGAGCCCCCCGCTCCCTGGACCCTCGCCGGCCTGGACGCAGTGTTGGGGGGTGGGGGGGGGGCGCTGCTTCCAGCCCTGGTGCAGTGGCTGCACAGGCAAACTCGGCCCGTGACCCGGCATCCGAACAGCGACACGGCAAAAGGACACCATCACGGCCATTTCTGTCTTCACGGCATGTGGCCTTCTCCTTCCACTAACGAGACCCACGACGGTCAGCGAGGACAGACAGGGGGAGGACAGTTTGTCACAGACACAGCAGCTCGTACAGAAATTTGGAATTTAGCGACTGGACAAAGTCAGAACAACTAGCTACCTTCATCACAGATGCATTTGCAAAGTTCTGAAAACACAATCCACAAATCGGTTTACTGTGGTCGCTGAATTGGATTTAAAAAGCAAAACGTTACCTTTTATTTTTTTGGACAAGATGGAGCAGTAAAAGGAAAATGTCCACACAGCTAACCCCTGCGGGCAGCACACAGAACGGCAGTCTGTACACATCACCACCAGGAGCCTCGCCTGGGGCAGATCACAGAACGACTATTTTTAAAACGCACGCGACGGCAGACTGCCCTGCTGGCAAGCACACTTTCTGAGACAAGGCACTTGGAAAACCCAATATGGTTTGGTTCGTAAGTTTGCAAGGTACAAACAACTTCACAAACGTAGGGTCACACTGAAGAACGTCAGCGGCCGTGATGTTACATGTAAAAAAGGTTCCCATTTCTTTTCTTCCTTGTTTTAATAACACTGGTTTTGTGGGAATGGAGGAAGCGGTCTGCGGCCGCTTCGGTGAAGACCTTCCGGACGACACAGACGCAGCCGCGCTCGGGCTGGCCGGGAGGCGGGGTGGCCTGAGGACGCCGGGAGGGACAGGGGAAAAGAGAAACAAACCGACGAACGAAAACACCGCCTGGGGCGAACCCAGAAAGCCCAGAAATCCAAGGGTCGGGAGGGGCAGGCACCACGGACCAGGCCCGGCGTCCGTCCGGGAGAGCAGGTCTCAGTCCTCACCCCCAGCTGCGAGCCCCGCAGGGCGCCCCGTCTGCCGGGCTGGGAGCCGTGCGGGGCGCTCCCGCTGTGGCGAGGCTGGGTACAGTACCGGAGACCTCGGACCCCGGGGCGGCAGCAGTCTCTCCTCACTCCTTACACGGCTGCAAAGTCAATCTGTACGTACAGCTGTCTCACTCCGGCCTGAAAAGGTGAAAAGCAAAAAGATCAGCATGTCAATCCAGCCCCAAAGCAAACTATGCAGCTTGGAAAAGTAGTCCGAAACCATGATTTTTGGGAAAGGGGTTCCCTCTGCTTCTGAGAAGGGGTTCTCTGTCTTTCACCGTCGAGAGCCCACCGGTTTATTCGGGGAGCAAGGTCACCGTAAACCACTCAAAGGGCCCCGTTCACTCGCAGGAGAGCCAGCCGGGCGCTGACCCCCGCCCGGGCCAGTGACGGGAGGGAGGCTGAGGTCGCCGCCCGCCTGCCACCCCGGCCGAGGACTCTGCAGGCTCCACCGCTGCCGGCTGCTGCGGAACCACAGGGCGGCCCTGCCACCTGACCCTCCCTCCACGGTCACTGCGCATCTCTGGGGCTCATGGGTTCCTCTCTGCCTGCCGTCCGTCCTTCCCTCTCTGTCGTCTCTCCCGAGCCCGGCTCCCGGGGGCTGTGCTGCCCGCCCCCTCGAGGTGTGTCAAGGGCACCTCGGAGTCGCTCCGCCCGGTTCTCAGTTCTCAGTCCTCAGTCCTCGTCTCTGTGCCCACTTCTCAGCCACGACAGAGGTGAGCGCTTCCGCCTGCTCCCACGCCGGTCGCCCCGTGTCGTGTCAGCCCACCTGTCCACCTTCCTCCAGCCCTCTGCTGGCCTGCCCTCCTGTCCGCGATCCCTGAACACGGAAACACCCACGGCTCCGTCCCCCAGGGCAGGGTCCCCAGCCCTGGGTCTCGGACGCACACGCCCGTGGCCTGTTAGGAGCCACGCCGCACGGCAGGAGGGAGGGGGGCTTGAACGTGACGTGCTTGAATCACCTGGAACCATCCCCCACCCACTCCCGCCGCACTCCATCCCTGGTCCAGGGAAGATGGTCTTCCACGAAACCGGCCCCTGGTGCCCGAAAGGCTGGAACCACTGCCCTGGGGTCCCATCCAGCGCCCAGACTGTCGGAGCCCCCCGCAGGCGCACCCTCCCCCATCTGCACCCCAGGCTGGAGCCCGCCGGTCCCCTCCCGGACACGTGTCACCACACGGCCAACTGCGACACTGTGCCCTCCCCCGGAAACCGATCGCCCTTCACCCCCGACAGCTCAGCTCCGCCCTTGACTCCGAGCACCGCACTGCCCATGCTGCTGCCACCACTGGGTCACTCTCACCCCGGCCGATCTGCAGCGGCCTCTGTCCGTCCCCCACGCCGCTCTCCCCGCGCCGCTCTGGTCGACCCCCAGCACCGCGGCCACGGCAGTGCCGCCCCACCGCCCAGCCCCGCAGCAGCTCACCCTCCCCCGTCCCTCCGCGGCCTGCCGAGCCCTGTCGTGATGACCACGGCCCCCGGCTGCCCTCTGACCCCAGCTCTGACCCCTCTCCCGGGCTCGCTCTGCGGCGGCCGCACTGCCCTTCGGCGTGGAGCGGCGACCCTCAGGAGGGCCACGCGACACTGCCCCCAGCCGCATCGCTCCTCAGACACAGCGAGGCCCGCGCTGACCCCTGTGCAGGTCGCAGGCACCCCGTCTGCCCAGCAGTCACCCCGTCTGCCCAGCAGTCACCCCCGGGCACCTCCTGGCTTCCAGGCCCTGTCCGGGCCCTGGGAAAGCGACGGTGAACCCAACAGGGAAAAGACACCCTTGTGCTCGTGGAGCTTGCACGCTGTGGGGAGCTGGAAGGAAGGGAAGTGATCCGCCCACCGGCAGGTCCAGCGCGCCAGACGGTGCTCCCCGGGCGGGGGCGGGGGGGGGAACCACAAAGCGCGACACAGAGACGGTGGTGGCCCCCCCACCGGCTCCCCTGGGCCGGACGCTCACCACCCGCTGGCCCGTCGGAGCCTCCCTGCTGGCTTCCGTGCTCGCTGCCCCTCCCCCACCAGGGGGGCAGTCTGCCCAAGATACAGCACCCGTGTCTGTGCCGGCTCCCCCCAGAGCCTCCAGGAGCAACCGGCACACGGTGGGTGATCAGGAGACATTTGCTGGAGGAACTGAAAACCCACCAGTTTCCGTCCTTCAAGTGAAAGTGACTTAAGTAAAGCGCGCCATCGGCTACAATAAGCCAGTTCGTGCTGGGGCCACAGAACAGGAGGTGAATCAGAACGGTGGAGAGAAAGGGAAGACCACAGTGGGGGTACAACACCGGCACCGCCTTCTCACAGTGATTTCTGGGGTCCTCCAGGCCCGCTCCCCGGCACTCGGGGAGGACAGCCTGCCAACACCAGGACGTTTCGGGGACTCAGGAGCCCCCCGAACCAACGAAGAGTCAAGCAGGCCCAGGGCCGCCCTGCACAGAAGCGGCCCAGCTTTCTGCCTCATTAAAAAAGAAATCCTCGCTGTGATCGAGTTAGACTCCCTGAAAATACACTCCATAGCACCCTCTCCTTGAAGAGGTTTGTGGCAGAAAAAAAAAAATAGGACTTAGTATGTGTATGATTTTGAGCTAAAACTGAACAGTTTAATCTTTGTCATTTTAAAAGTGTTGATAAAATACGCACCCTACTTATCTCACAGAATTGCTATGTATTCATCCAGTGCTTGACGAACGTTTAATCAACCCTTTCCACGTGCCGGGTGCTCCCGTGAGGATCCCGTGTGATAGGAGAAAGGGTTTTCTCGTCTGCTGTAACAGGCTAACGGGCCGAATGGTAACGATTGATTAATTACATTTGACTTAGTCTACCCAAAAGGCCCCCCCAATAACGACACTTAGGAAAACCCTTCTGTAAAATTCCTCCATGTCTAACCTGAAGACACCACCACTGTGGCTCAACTAAACGGCCTCACTGCCTTTCCAATGGAAGTGAACTGGGGGCGTCCGGTGGGCCGACCCCAGAGAAGGCCATGATAGTGGTAAGAAACGAGGAAGCAGAAGGCACTGGAGAGAAACGGGAAAACAAAGAGGCTGCGCAAACCTGGTATCTGCATAATGAGGAGTTAATTACTCCCCAGCCCCCACCCCCAGGGGCCACTCTGCTTCATCTGCCCCCCCGCCCCACCCCGATGGGACAGCCTCAAGTTTCCCGGCCTCCTGCTTCCCCTTCTCCGTTTCCTTCACAGCGGAGAGAAAGGGGGGACTTCCAGAGAATGCAGACCGTGCTGTCTGATCGGTCTGAGCACCCCCAGGGACGGACGCACCCCCGGCTGGTCAAAAGCCTGCTGGGCTCCGCGCACGCCCTGCCCCAGGGCTGGCTTTAAAGCGGAGTCTTCAAAACCGGTCTCGCTCCCCCACGTGAAAGCCGAACCACCTCCTAATGAGTGACTAGCGAATGGGGTGAAATTACAAGTCATGAACAATAATCAAGTGGGTCTGGGTTCCTCTTTCTGTGCACGGGGGACCGCAGTCCTGTGAGGACTGCCCGGGCCGTCAGCTTTCCACCCACGATCGGCCAGCGCGGGAGCACGTACCCGCTGTGGACGCATTTTGGACAGCGGACCCAGGGATCTGCTGGCCTCACGCCCTGCGGCCGTGTGCCCTAACCTGCTCAGGGGGCTGGGTGCCAGCCAGCCTCAGGTATGCATGCCAGAGAAAGATGAAGTATGATGAAGACTTGCGAGCAAAGTGAGCACCTATGCAAACAGGTAGAGAAACAGCTGCCCCCTTGCTCGAAAGGGGCCGGGGGCTTCTCCCAGGGCCTGCTGGGGCCCAGCACACACTGGGGGTGCAGGGAGGGATCGGCAGGCAGGGGAGCGGCGGCGGAGGTGGATTCCCAGAGCTCAGGAGCCCCCACGGGGTCTTGTGCGGAGGCTTCGGGTTCCTTCCTGGGCACCAGCGCGGACAGCTATTTTGAGGCCGGAGAACAGGGCACCAAATGCCAAGGCAGGAAGCCGGGGGCTCAGGGCTTGACAGGCAGAGCAGAAACGGGCAGAAGGAAGTGGGGAGGAATGAGGGCGGAGGTTTCTGTCCGGGACTAGACGGTGTGCAGTAAATAGGCTCCTGTGTTTTGTGGAACTCAGGAGGCCAGTGAGCCCCACGCATATTCTAGATTTTTCCTCAAACCTTATTTCTAACGGAACGAAAGTTAATTGAAAAATTTGACAGGTTGACTATCAGTTTAAAACAAGAAACATAAACAGTCAAATTGCCTTCCTAATCCAGTGTCCCACTGTCTCCTCCCCTTTAAATACGGAACATAAACAAAACAGCTTTCTGTTTCATGAATTCCCAAATGATAACTCGTTTTTGAAAAGCTAACACAAGGGGAGCGTGGAAGAAAGGACCTTTTCGATGCCAACAGAAACCCCCGCAGTTTAAAGGCCGGATTACCATATCGCTCCCAGCCTCGGCTGAGGTCAGGTGCGGCGTCGGCTCTGACGGAGGTACAGACTGGACCGCCGCTTAATGACTGATCCCAGAGGGGCCGGGAGCCGAGGAGGACGCCGCCCGCTCCGTCCGAGTGCGCGGCAGACCGACTGCGTCGGCCGCTGACGACCACCCGATCAAAACGGGGTGAGACGGCGAGTCGGGTGCGCGGTCTGGCTCCCCGGCAGCCACGAAACACGGCCTCACCCGCAAACCAGACAGTGGCGCTTCCCCGGCTTCTCGCGCCACTGGGCTCCTCAGCGTGAAGTCATCCTCAGATTTCAGTGAGTTTTCAATCAAAAACTGTTACTTAAGTTAGGATTTTAAATCAGCTAGAAGACATCTAAAAACGTCATAAAACCAAAGAGTGTAAAACTTATTATTGAGAAAATCCTCCTTCTGGTCTTCTGGAACTGAGGCCACCGGCACTGGAGTTCCATGCCTCGCGCATCCGTGTGATTATTTTTCTCAAAAAGGGAGTCATTTGAGTTTGGTTACCTCTGATAGGTAAACCTAAAAACAAAATGTAATTTAAAATTTACAAGTAAGGTTACGCCCCGGCTGGTGTGGCTCAGTGGGGTGAGGGCAGGCCTGTGAACCGAAAGGTCGCCAGTGGTTCAATTCCCAGTCAGGGCACATGTCTGGGTTGCAGGCAGGGTCCCCGGTAGGGGGCGTGCAAGAGGCAACCACACAGGGATGTTTCTCTCCCTCTTTCTACTTCCCTTCCCCTCCCCTCTCTCTGAAAATAAATGCATACATTTAAAAAACAACGGTTAAAATTCTAAAGCATTTTACTTCATGAAATGAGAACGTCCCCGGAAGCCCTGGATCTGCCGAGAGCACGTGCGCCCGCATTACGGGGCAGAAGCAGGAGACAACAAGGGAACGGGACAGGCCGAGCCTGCCCGTGCCAGGGCGGAGCAGCTCCCCCACCCGGGGAGGGCAGTCTCGGGCGGACCGACCACTCCCCTCCGTCCCCCGGGGCCTCCCAGGGGCCTTCCGAGGACGGACTGAAGCTGGCCTGCCCTTGGCTGACAAAAAGGCTTAAAATACTTCTTAGAGCTTAACATTTTCAAAACCTAAACACAGTTTCCAAAACCAAAGCGGCAGCTGAACGGAGGGCCAGCTGCGGCTGTTTTCAAAGCCAGCGCTCCCGAGGCTCCCCGAGAAACCCCCTGGCCCAGCCTGACAGCCGACGCTCGGCCCTGAACCCACAGCTGGCGCCAGCTCAGAGGGGCCCGGTCTGACAGCCGGAGCCCGGGGGACGCGGGGGACGCGCTGCTGTCCGGGAGGCCCGCGGGCGCTCAGGCCAGAGGGTGGGGGCCAGGAGCAGAGGTTCCCCGGCCGGGCGTGAGCAGAAGTCCCGTGAGCACACAGGCCGGTAGGCGGCCGAGGCCCGGCTGTCCCTCCCCTGCACCCTCAGTCCCGTGTGGCCTGCTCCCCCTGGGAGAACTGCGGCAGCACACACAGCGTTTGCAGAAGCTCGGGGTGCGGGAAGCTGCGGAGTCACACGGGCGGGACTCCAGCTCTGCCTCCTGCAGAGCCGCCCCTGGGGCCTGTCCGGACCCTCCAGTTCCAGAGGGGACCTCCGTGTCCCCAGAGGAGGGCGCACGGCAAAGGACAACCTGAGTTTCCGTAAAGGACACGGGTCGGTGTGAACCGACACAAAGGACTCCGGAGTTTGCCTCCGTGGCTGGAAAAACAAGTCCATTGTGCTTACCCGACAGTGCAGTGGGTGAATATATACACTTCATAGGTTAAAGAGTAAGTGTTTCCCAAACAGCAGAGTCAATGCATTCTAAGACCCTTAAAAGAAGTCATTAAAAAAGTCATACCTGAGTAAAAATGTTATGTGTCTGGCTTAAAATCCACCTGGCGTCGGCGTCCGGCGCCACCACCACCTTCAGGGTCCCCACGTACACGTCGGAGCACAGGGTCCAGAAATGCTGCTCCTGCAAACTGTACACGCCCTGCAGGTGCTGCACCTGGAACGCAAAAGGCGGGGGTCGCTCAGCGCGGCCCGCGGCCCCCCAGCTGGCCACCCGCCTCGCCCCGGGCCAGCGACCCGCAGGTGCTCGGGGATCAGGAGCGGACGCCCGCCCGTCGGATCTGCGGGGCAGGCGGAGCGGGCTGGGGAGTCCGCATTTTCAAAGACGCGGGTGGTCAGAGGGCACAAGTAGGGACGCGAGCGAGGTCGGGAGCCGGGAGGACGACAGAGGGAGCTCGGAGAAAGGAGGAGGACACGAAGGGCAGAGCCAGTGACCTGGGACTTAGAAAGCGAGAGAACCCACGAGCTCCGAGCCGAGGTCTGGGCCAAGGTGAACGAGCCGAGTGGACGCCGCTCAGTGAGGGCTGCCCTTGGACGGCACCGTTCTCCCTGCACGACCGACCGCCAGAACCCAGGGCCCCCCCCCCCGCCCCGCACCCTCAGGCCCCCGGGAGCTCGGTGCCAGTGTGCGCCGGTCCCCAGACCGTGCGGCCACCACAAGGGAGGGGTGTCTGTGAGCTTTTCCACGGGCTCCTTAAGGTCTCCTCAGCCTGAGGCTGAGAACCGCTGGCAAGACAAAACTGATGGGGTTTTTTTAAAAAAGGGAATGTGTAACTCAACAAAACACAAACTGAAACCGATTTCAAAAACCACGGAGGGCACACTGTGAATACTGTGTGCGTGCGTCCACACGCACACGCACACGCACACCGCGGCACAGCGAGCGGAGCCCAGGCCCCCGCCGTGGCCCGGCTCCGAGCCCGTGGCGCCGGCCGGATGGACCTGGGAGGCGGGAACAGCCTGCTGACCGGTCCCCATCTCCGGCTCTGCAGCCGGGCTCCGCCTCCGCTTGGCGCGTGCGTGAGTGCATGCGTGTGTGTGTGTGTGTCGGTCCGGGCACCCGCCTTGGGTCCCAAGCTGCCACTCCGCTGCTGCTCCAGCTCCCCCAGTGGCTGCCGATCTTCCTAGGCCAGGGACCCATGTCCCGCGGCCACCACCTGTCCCACTGGCTCCTCCCCTTTCCCCCCTGTTCCTCGCCGGCCCAGCCTCCTCCCCGCCACTCCGAAAAGTCAGACAGGCCCACTCCCATCTTGGATACTTGGATACTTACTGCCCCCACTGCCCGGAGCGCCCTTCCCCCCAGATTTCTGCACAGGCCACTCGGGTGCTCACGCAGACGGCGCCGGCCCGTCAGCCCGCCTGCACTGCCCTGTCTGGACTGGAGACACTTCCAGTTCACACGCCTCTGCTCCGCTGCGCTCCCCGGCACACCGCGGCCCACAGGACAGTGTGTATTTATGGTCTGTGTGTTGCTCGCTGTCTGCCCCCCCCAGCAGAACCAGGGCTCCGCGGGGCAGGGGCTCCCTTTCCTTCTTCCCTGCCCGCATCCTCAGCGCCCGAGACAGCGCCCGGCCCGAGGAGAACGCACGTGACCCAACAGTCTGGAAGCTTTGACACTTACCCTCTGATAGCACTGAGGCAGAACAGTTTCCAGCGAAGGAGGGGTCCTCTGCATTAGTATCCCAACAGACTCTCTTAAAAGAGGAATAACACTGAAGAGAAGGAAGAGAGAGTTTATTAAAGCCACGCTCTGACAATCCGCCCTGCCACAAAGAGACAACACACCTCCCCAGACTGCAACACAACGAGATTCGTCAGAATAATGAGAGGAAAAAAACCTCGTCGTTGTTCCGAGTTTTACACGTGATCGATAAATTACTATCTAAAATGAAAGAGTCGGATAAATGCACCCAGGTACAATATACAACACTAAACTCACACCACTGAGCAGTTCTGCAGCGTCTACCAATCTAAACACAGCAGTCATCCAGCTGTTATTTAAAACAGACTTCAAAAAAATAATAAATAATACAAATAAAATAGACTCCAGATGGCCAGGACCTTCCAAGGCAATCTGGAAAGTGTATCACAACCAGCGAACCGGTCCTTAACAATTATCAAATATTTCACACATTTAGCTGAAGAGTACTGTTAAGCAAAACACAAAAGGATTAATATGGCATCTGTTAGTCCAGTTGTTGAACATTTTTCCAACCCAGTGACATGTGTCTTCTTTCCTGACTGAAACCACACAGAAGCCTGGATGTGACCACCGACCTGGCGACACAGCGCCTGCAGCGACAGGGCCAGGACGGTGGTGCGCACCCAGATGCTGGTCCTCAGCCCATCCTCGGGGACCACTGCCTTGGGCTGTTCAGCTGATTAACTGCCCCCGGACAGTGGTGGGTGGTAAGGGGCTCGAATGTAGTAGTTTCCTAACCTGGCGACACACCGGATCCCCCTTCCAATCTGGTTTGCTTTCGGTTCTGACTGACAGGCGATCAGAACCTTCGGGGGAGGCGGAGGCACCCCCTTGAGTCCGGGCGGTCAGGCGCCCCGCTACTGCCCCAGGGGACTGCCTGGGGAGGTCGGACACTACAGGGCTTAGGGCCGGGCTCGCTTCTAAACTTGGAGTCTCAACGTTTCCAAGGAAACCCCCCGAGTTCAGCTGTAGGGGACAGAGAGCAAAGGAAAGTGCACCTTTCCAGGAAGGTCGGCGCTGAGGTGCGCCCTAAGGAGCCCACAATAAACACCTGCTGGTTAAATGAACGGAAGATTATACACAGATATCGGATGTTTCAGAATCTGGATTAAAGAGGGAAAAGCACCCCGGGGGAGGAATCAGGAGCCCGCTGCCCCCGTATTCTAGGGGCGCAGTGCTCAGCACGCAGGGAATGCTGCAGCAGGGACGAAGGGAAAAAGAAACAGGCGTTCAGAGCGGCAGCTGCCGTGTGCCTGGGCCCAGGGAAGGGGCAGTGGGGGCGCACAGTGGGGGTGCACAGTGGGGGCGCGTCGAGGACCGGTGTGAGGACTCCAGCCAGCCTGCAGGGGCGGCGGCACGAGGATGAAAAGCTGACTGTGGGCAGGGCTCTAAGTCCCCCTCGAGGGAAAATGTCCCTCCGTCGGACGGTGATTTAAGAGCCAAGAACAACCCCACGGCACCCGGAATTCCTTCTTCTCCCTAAAACCCCCGTGGCTAAGTCACCCAGGTCTCAGGATCCAACACCCGACCACGACCTCACTGGTCCCCGCCCTCCTTCCCATCATGCACGTCTGCGACAACCTCCCCACCTCCACCGGGGTTGCTCCGCCGGCCCTCAGGGTCCCTCCGCTCTAGTCTCTTGTCCTCGAGCCCACCGTGACAGGCGGCTTCCCGGACGGCTCCCACGGCCCCTGCACCCCCAGGTTCACTGCACCCCCCAGTTCACACTCGTGTGTCGTCTTCCCCCCTGGAGTGTGGGTTGGACCAGTCGGCGACTGGCTGCTGACGCACGTGGCGACAGTGGGGAGATGCCACTCCTACGATTAGGTCAGAGACGCTGGCTTCCATCTCGTTCACCTCCTTCCTTGCTTTCTCACCCAGGCTCATGGCTGCCATGCTGTGAGCTGTCTAATGGGGGGGCCCAGGGCAAGGAACTGGGGTTGCAGAGTAACCGAGTAACGTCAGAGGCAACCTTTCATTTCAAATAACTGAGTAAGAGACATCATAACCAACACGGGAAAATAATAGAGGGAGAGTGTACTGTTTTTAGTAAGGGTCCAGTGAGGTTTTCACCGGTTTTGCTACCCTAGAATATGGGGAATGGTTGTCCGTTTAGATGGGACTTTAATAACATGTTTACATTCGACAGCAGCACGCATGTCACCGAAGCACACGGGAAGGCCACACTCCTCTCCTCCAATCAGAGCTTTAAAACAACGGGCGAGCTCCAGCCGCAGGAGCTGCCCCTGGGCCGTGGAGCCGCGGTCGGGAGAAAGGGCGCTCGCCACATCGCCCAGTGAAGTGCCATTTCGAACCAAGGTCAGTTTCTGTAATAATTCCAAAGGCCACAAGAATGTAGAAGAACCCTGCAGAGACCCTACTTTTCTGCCTCGTAAAATCACGTTTGGCTCAGGAGTTTGTGTCCGTACTTTTCTGATTAACTGTTATAAAGGGGAGTCACAAACCAGACTCGAGCACGACTCTCTCTACCCATAATGAAAGGATATGGGGAAAACGACAAGCGTAGCAAATTCCAGACTGAGCTCAGACTCCGAGCTGCATCCAAACCCCAAAAGGAAGCATTTGGAAACAATTAGAGGCTCACTTCTGGTTGACCAACTCGATTCCAGCTGTAACAATGAAACACCATTTTCCTAGCATATAGGAGGAATGAGTCATTTGCTATGCGAGTTTACCAGCAACACAGGGTAATGACTTTATTCTTCAAAAGCTGGGGTAAATCAAATTTATAATCATGTGATCATAAACATAAATGTGAATGTGAAAGCTGAAATCCTAGCAGATTAAATAAGCAAGTTAGTTATTATTCTTTACTGCCAGTAACTGCAAATGAAAATATGTGCAAATCTTACTTCAAAAACAGCATTTAGTGAGTCTCACCATTTCGACAGTAAATAAAAAGGTCTACACTATGAAAACTTTTGAAGACCATCAGACTGGGGATAATCATAACGCTTAACAATAAAAAACTCCCGAGCTGAAACTACTACTTAGATCCGAGAATAAATATCTATTAATAATAACTGAAATGTAATCACTACTTCAACTTTTTAAACTGGCTTATGAGCTAATTCTTCCTGCACATTATCAGCAGCTCTTACAACATACAAACACGGAGAAAGACAGCCGGCTGTCCTCTGAAAGAGCTCGTAAATTTGAAGACCTGGTATATGTCACGTACTCCAAAACGTCAGTGGACAAAGAAGCCGGAGATAATCGACCCCAGACGGCAACGTGTTCTAGGTCAGACACGGCGGTCCCGGGAGGCTGTAAATGAGCAGCCGTATTTGCATGAACACGAGTGTGCTCCGTGGCAGTGAATCTGCATAAACACGAGTGTGCTCCGTGGCAGTGAATCTGCATAAACACGAGTGTGCTCCGTGGCAGTGAATCTGCATAAACACGAGTGTGCTCCGTGGCAGTGAATCTGCATAAACACGAGTGTGCTCCGTGGCAGTGAATCTGCATAAACACGAGTGTGCTCCGTGGCAGTGAATCTGCATAAACACGAGTGTGCTCCACGGCAGTGAATGGCTGAGAACCTGCTTCCCCTGAGTTTCATGAGCCTCACGGGGATCAGACAGCCCGGACCACGAGGACTGGGGTGCACCTTACAATTTCCTGAGTCCCCACAGCCTGTGGTTTAAATCGGTGCACCTCTACAGAGAACCTCCTTCGTTCAACAATGGGAGTCGGGAGATACCCTCACACAGCCCTAGGATTTGGGGCCAAAGTCGTGGAAAGGCTGCCCTTTCCCTGAAACTCCTGGAACTCAGTTGTAACACTTAATGCATCTGGTCTTAACCCAAAGGCATTCGTAAATAATGTCAAATGAGTGAATAATTAGTAACATCTTTGATTAGGCAACACTTAATAATTTTTAAAGTGTTTTCAGAAATTTTTTCTAATGGCATCCTCACAACGACCTTAAGTAACCTTAAGCGAATGCTGGAATCACGGATGTAGGCAAGATCACCCGAAATCGTTGGGGCCAGCGCCCTTCTCTTACAGAAGAGGACACCTGAGCTCTCGGCGATCCGAGCATCGTGCGGGCTGCCGCACGCTGGGAAGGGGCGGCGCTGCGTGCCCATCCCCCGCGCGAGCTCTCTGCCCCACACGGGGGTGTCTCATCTCAACCGAGTCCTCTGGAGTCGGAGATCACGCCGCATTCTTCTTATTCCTAGGGCCCAGCACAGGGCTTGGAATATAATGAGCACCTGACGCATGTCTCCTGGATGTATAATCTGCTTTAAAATTTCAAACACTAGTGGAAGATTATTAAAATATACAACAGCTCTTGTTGGGCATGGGTTTCAACCCTGCACAGGAGCAGCTAAATGGCAGAAGGACCTTATCCTCGGTGCAGGCGGGCGCGGGTGAGAAAGAACTGCATGTTCCCGGGCAGCAGCAAGCTGCGCTCCCAACTCCTGGTGCGCAGTTTGTCGTCTCAACAAAAGCTCTTTCTGCATTCCCATGCATAAGACACCAAAGTCACGCCAGCAATATAAGTAGAGAAAATGAAGTGATCTCCTATGCACTCGTGAAGAACAACGGTGCAGACGAAGGAGGAAATGAGTGGGATTCACGCTAACATGCCGCTGGGGGAGGGGGGGAGCGGAAGGAGACGATGGGAGTGATGTGGATAGAGGGCGCGGAGCTCCAGAGACGCAGAGTTCTGAACGCAGACCCAGCTGGAAGGACTGCACTATTTATGATTCGTGCTTTAAGGAAACCTGCATTTCAAAAAGTATCCAAGTGAAGAAATAGGGCTTTGTTCTCAAAACAATTGGGACTCAAGAAAACTACCAAAATCAAATTATTATCTGGCAGCTCCTGTGACCACAAGTTGTAGTTTCTTCATTGGTCAATGTTGTTGACCTAAAAATTACAACTCTGGATTAGTTATTTTCTATTGCTTTTCTATCCTGTATTTCATTTATCTACTCCAATCTTTATTTCCTTCCTTCTGATGACTTTGAGTTGTTTGTT